GTGCTTCTGTTCACTTAAATAGAGCAGCATGTATAAAAACACCGAAAGATGCGAATTAAGTTTGTACAATTATAATATATTATAAATAAGGAAATAAAAAGACATAAATCTATATACATCTATATACATGTATATAATTATCAATTTTTTTATTTGTATCATCTATTTATAGTCAACTTATTTATTACGCAAGACTTTGAAAAAAATAAAAAAATATGCCTTCTGCTGTAATGATCTTTAATCTATTCATTGACGGATCCGAAACTTTCATAGAGAAAATCTTTATGCGTAGAATGAATCATTTATTGTTATAAGTTTTGTTTTAACTAAAATAATTTTGCACCCTTTAAAAAATATTTATGTGATTATAAAAAAAGCAAATCGGAAATGTTATTCTTTTTGAGAATTATTTTTCTTTCCCGAGAGATTTTGACTCGATTTAGAATTTCGAGTTGTCGTCACGAATTTATCATCACGACGATTTGTGATGGCGCGTTGAGTGCGTCATCACCGCGGCGTTCAGCGATCGCTTGCTTCTGCGGTGGTGGTAACCCTGGTGAAGAGCTGACGTCATTGTTGAGTTCCGAAATTGAAATCAATAAGTGCAATGTGCAATGTTGTGTGTACACCGCGGACGTTGGGAGATGGCGATTATGTCAAAACACCGTGCTAAGTCTCATCGTGCTTGACTCGGAAACGACGACGCGGGTATCCCACGACGAGATGGCTCGCAACAGCAAGAAGAAACTCGCGATATTCGTGGGTACATCGAAGTGTCTCGTTTACGTGAGTTGCCTCGTCCTTCACGCGAGCTAAAAACGACGCTCGCTCCTCTCGGTTTCTCTCTCGTGAAAAGAATTGCACACACGCGAATTTGGAAACGGTTTGCTCAAACAATTTTATACCTTTCTTTAATTGCATTCTGTTTCGTCATTTTCATTTGCGTGTCAATCAAAATATCGGAATTTTATAATGTTGGAGTGTGTTATAATATTGTTAGAAGTTTCTGTTATGATATTAGATATACTGCCGATTAAACAATTCTACTAGATTAAATATAAGATTATTCGCTTGATATGAATTTTTGTAAGCAATATTGAAATTTCTTTCTTTCAGGCAGAAGCAAAGTACTGTGCCTCTGATATGCCTGGAGAAATAAAATATTACGAGTAAGTTGTATTCATTAATCATTTATCATAATTTGTTTTTTTTGTTTCAAGCTATGATTTCTTCTTCACTCATGTAATTTTTAATTAACAAGAATATTTGTATTATATTTTTAATATATTTCTTACTGTATTTGATTTTCAGTAACTAATTTTTTCTTTGTCAATTTATTAGTTATGACACACATATTTCAGTTTAAACAATTGTTTATATATGAAGCACTGAAATTTACACCGATTATTTGATATTTGCAGATGTTCAAGAACAGAGTATTGTTGCGCTTTTGGTTGTTGCGTGTCGCCTGGATTCCATTTCCATCACTTATGGTACTACTGGTAAATGAAATTTTTGATAATTCATTTTTTACATTTCAATAATAATTACGATAATGTTTTATATAATTTACACTTTTTTTGTTACGTAACACGACAGTGTTGTATGATGAATTTTTTAGGATCCTGGTTATAATCATGTTTTTGGTCTGTTCTGGTGGTGGTTGGTGGTATCGATATTGGTTGCAGGGCAGATACAGAGCCGCAGCTTCGGCTATTCCAACTCGATCTTCTAATAGTCGATCGCAAAATTCTCTTCGTAACACTCCTTGTCAAGCGCAGCAGGCTCGTATTACATACAATTCAGCAAGAAATACCGTCCTATTACATCGCATGTGGAAAGGTTCGTATTTTTGATCAGATTTTCCAACGGATTTGCTTTACAAAAATGTGAAGACAGCGCGACGATTTTACTTACATAAATTTTCTTGAACAGGTCCACAGAGAAGTACAGCAGCGCCAGCATATAATAGTAACGCGACTACATCGACGCACTATCAGAATATGAACGTCGTATTAAATGATGCCAATTGTCCTTATTATCAATTATACGGTCCTCCGCCTAGTTATGAGACAGTCATAGCGCAGACACGTGGCAAAATTTCCAATCCGGCGTCACCAGAGTCTTCTGCCGCACGGCTAAACCTGCAGACCACGGCGAATGTGACACCGATTTCGAGTGTACCGCAGTGTTTTTTCTACACTTGTAATTCTCCGGCGAGATTAGTGGACGGTAATTCGAGTCAATGTCAAGGTGACAACGCGAATGCCCATCAACTTGACGGTCACGAGAATGTCCCGTTCGCGCACTTCTCCCAATATTGCACTGGAAACGGTGTGGTTGGTCAAAATGCGTGCGTTCCTTTGGAATATCCAGAAGAACCGATCGCATCTGGGGGAAATAATTTCAGTCGCAGTTACCAGAGTAGCCCGCAACGTTTGTCAGGGTATCCGACGGACAGACTGCCCGACGCATCAGATGTTGAAAATGTGGCTCGCGTTTACGAGCTTCCGTCGAGTACAATGGGACACGCGATGCTCAATATTGACGCTGCGACCGGCAGCTACGGAGAACGCAGTCCTTGGCGTGGAAATGATCAATCTATGCTGCGAGTCCACGGTAAAATTACCGTGCAGAACGAGAACAGAGCGTCTCAGCAGAGATGCGTAATGACCGCAGATACACACGCTCTCTCGCCTAAGTCAGAGGAAAACGGAAACGTGAGCGAATTGAAGCGTACGTTTTCCGTGATTTCTGCGACGCGAAGAAGTTTCCCGAGAGAACGTAAAGATTACGGCGGTTCCTTGCGATTACCGCGCAGACACACCGGAGGTGTCATTTATCAAGGTGACGGCTTCCAAAGAGTTCTCCCGAGAGATTTATCGAATTTTCAACGGAGCACTTTTAATTCCGCTCAGACGGCACCACCCGAAGGCGCGCCTTGTAATACGAGCTCTCTAGAACGAGATGCGAATTCTTCTCAATCAAATCCATCCAATAATGTGATATTAGAATCCTTTATTTTTGAAAATGTGCAATCGCCTCCGAGTGACAACGTCGAAGAGACCCGAGGTCTTCATACGACGAATCGAAATGCAAACTTTGATCCTGAAAGTAAACACAAATTAGACAGATCGAAGTCGCTAGACTGAATGTAAAATTTAAATTCTTATCATTGCGCGTATCACGCGATGTTTATTCTTGTATGTCTCTGTTATTCGCGCGTAATTTATATAGCAATACAAAACTTAATTATTGTTCGTTGTCAAGACACGTTAAAGTAATCACCTCAACGGAGTTTCCGAATGTCGCGAAATATTCCACTTTGCCGAAGATAACAGAAATAGTATTTTTTTGAACACGTGTGTACGGTATATTTGATGCGGTGAGTATTTCGTATTTTACCTACTCTATAATAATATTTCACGTCATTTTGTCATGTCTTTAATTGTCGAATCTGATGATTGAATTTTTTAGAAATGTGAAAGATGCGTATATGTCACTCATTATCTCATGCAGAATTAACGAATTTGAAAATATTACATGTTAGAGTTAAATCGCACTTTTACAATATTTTTGGCGTAATATCACAATTTCCTGAAGCTAAACTATTTTGATTATTAAGATACTAAATATCGAGATGCTAAATATTGTCTTTAAATGTGATAGCTGATAGTTCCATTTACGTACGTCGGCGAAATGTTTTATTTCTGATACCTGCAACACATACTGCCATGGAAAGATTTTTCTGAACGTCAATATCAGACATGGATCTTAATTTTTTTTTTAATTTTCGCACTTTGCTTAATGTACATACTTTAAGATTAAGATGAAAAAAAATGGTATTTCAAATGGTATTTCAAAAAACGCGGCCCAATTTAATCCACTTACGCACAAAGAAAAATATCAATCATTATGTTTTATTACTCTGATATGATAATAGTAAATAAATAATTAATTGCACATTTTTGTAATCTTCAAGTGAAAATGTACTTATGAATTGCGTCTATGGAAGATCATAGAAATGGTTAATGTCTTCAATAAAGATATAAGACTCATTTTAAATATCGCAAATAAATTTAACGTATTTTTTCTAATGATAATATTGATATTGATATTGATCGAATTCTCAATGATGCCGAAGTGATCTCGCTCTTCGTGAAGTATATTTCGGTCAAGCCAGTTCTTCTCTATATAAGCCTCTATTATATATATATATATATATATGTGTGTGCACATTAATATTATCTCTATATTAAAGAATGCGTATATTACTATACGCTTGCACACATACTTGATATTATGATACAATGATCCAAGAGAGATTCTAATTTATTTACGATCGAAGCAGCAATATTCTTGTAATAAAAATGCGATCGTGTAAAGAAGTGAAAAGTTAAACAGGGCGGAGATCGTTTTCAGCTTGAACGTTGGAGGAAATACAAACGCGAGAGAATATATATGCGACAAGCATAATTCGATTATAAGCAATCACATTCGCATAACTTGTAACTTCCTGTTAATTTCCTCGCGTGTAATATCTGCATAAGTTTAATATTCTTAAAGAGTCTCTTTGTATCTATATAATTATGTAAGGAGAAAGACTGTGTCCTCGTGCTGTGACATGATACTTGATTTATTGCAATCTTATCTAATGTCGTGAAAACATCAATTGCAATTCTCGCGAAACATATCATTTAGAAAATTGCATTAAAAGAAATCGATTCGGTTTATATATGTATTTATATACACGCTACACTTTGTCTCGCCATTGTTTTTTTTCTTTTTTTCCCCCCATAATACATACGCGATACATTAAGTTTTAAGATTGCGACGTACCGTGTCGTTAGAGCCCTTCGATTTAGATTCTTGAGCGTAACAGCGGTCCAAGAAAACGCGTACGTGCCAATAGTCCGTTAGATAAGCAAGTATTTGGATAAGCGAGACGCGGTCTCGCAGCCAAGGAGGTCTTACCTTAAAATGCAAAGCAAAATAAAAGAGATATATATATATATATATAGATATATATATGTACACACTATTTTTTGTAATCGATAATTCTAACTGATAAACTGGGCTATTTAATGAGAGTCCGCGTGATTATATAATGTATAAGCTTGTACCATATTATATATTATATATCGTATATATAAATATACGTATACATATACCATGAGACTATAATAATTTCTAATTTCAGAAATCACTATATTTTGTGTGCGTGCATAGTTATGCTGCGCGTTATATCGTATAGCTTTAATAAGCTCTAATCTCTGAACGATCTTCTCACCGTAATGTGCAATCGCCGTAATGTATCCGCACGGTATCAGTGACGCTGTAAGATACCGTAATGTGAAAGAATGTCTATCCGAAATAAAGACACCAAATATTTATTCACGTACATTCACGATAATCTCTATTGAGATTCCTTTTGTTTCTGAGTGAGAGAGTGAGTGCTTCTGAGTCGGTGGCGCAATATCGGATTAATCGTTTTCAACTGAAAGTTAAATATTGAAAAAAAAATACATGAGAACGAGTGATGAGTATTGCTACTATTTTAGAATTATTTAAAGATTATCTGATTGAAAAATTCCTTTCGTTGTTATTCATTAAAGATCAATATTAAATACAAATGTGTGACATGAAGGTAATAACATTTACGATGTAACAACCAAAATTAGATCATTGTGAATTTAATTATTATTTTGATTAACTTTAATAATTTATATTTAATAATAATTTTATAATATTTATATTTAATTATAATTTGATGTATGTATTTAATCCATGAAATTGTATAAACTCTAATTTTTTATAGAAAAAAATAATTTTGAAATTGTCATTTCTTTTTATGGTGGATTTTTTTCAATTTGAATTTTTTTTGTTAAATTAACAATTTATTAATCGCCCCTTTAAAATTAGAAAGAACACATTAAAGCGAGTCTCTTTCTATTCTACGTTCGGCATTTTTCAGTAGTAGATGATGCTCGCGTATCGGCCAGTAGTAAGTGATGAGTATACATCAAAGTATAAAAATAGTATGGAATCGTAGAATTTTAGAAATTGAGAATCAGAAATTTTAATGGACATAAATATTTATTTAACTATTCTATTTTATAATTAATTTTTTTTCGCAGAAAGAAACGCGTAGACCGAACGTCCGCGAAATAGACGACGGTCACCATTCAGTCGTCAATTTCTTCGCGATTTCTTCGTTTTTCGCGCAAATTTTGAATGTTTCGTCGAATCAACCACGCCTAAATGCGATGGAACATTATATCAGTATCACGATGATAAGGCGATACTTGTCACAAGACGACGATAAGAGATGGCAGGTACAACCGGACGAGCGAGAAATCAATATAAACGGGATTCGCGGGGTCGCGAGGCGGGCGGTGGAGGCACGAGGGGTGGCGCGACAGAGGGTGAGGCATCCCCTCGTTGCGAAAGGCGACCATCGAAAGCCGATTGCAGCGCATTTTAGCGGCCACGTTGGCGAAAACGGCATAAAATGCCGTAGTCTCGGTGGCAGCCGGAAACACCCAGTGAACAGCTTCTTGCCTTTTCTCCCCTGTCTCCCGCCTCCTCCTCCTCCTTGTCCGGCCATCACTCTCGTTTCTGCCCTTTCCGTCGCGATCGCTGCCCCCGACTCGCGTGTGTGCGCGCGTATTTCACCCTCAATGGTGAATCAATAATTAAGGTGACAGTGCAGTGATTGCGCGATCGTGTGCCGGGTCAAGATGTCGGTGAAGGTGAGTCCTCGTACGTGCATTCGCGGATGCGACGCGGGCAAACGCGCCGTTTCCGGTTTCCTTGACAAGAGATTTCCGATCGACTGGTCGGCGAGGTAGCTTCAGCTGAGCCGAGGTCGCTGGCGAAACGGTCTCCCCGCGTTCTGCTGGGAGTGCTGTTGTTATGTAACGGGACTTCGAATATTGATATCCTATAGCGTATAGCGATAAAGGGAGGGAGAAAGATGAAGAGAAGGACAAGGAGAGAGAGAGAGAGAGAGAGAGAGAGCGTGAAGTTCAGCGAAGCTCACGTCGTCATCTTCGCACGATGTTTCATTATCATTACGAGCATTAATGCTCGTAGGTCATGGCTTGTCACGCACGTACATACACATGCGACATGTGGACCAAAATACGGGGCATTTATCTCGACGTATTTTTACTGCGTAAATACGATTACGATTAAGCATGATTGCTCGCGCGATGATACGACATATCTTCATCTGCCTTGCGCCTGAATACAGGCAACGCGCAAGCCGACATGATTTTTGCTGTTGTGTCAGCGCGCGGAGGCGCGATTATTTAAATTCTTCTGTAACATGGAAATGTTGAAAAAAATTTCGAAACGAGATTCACACGTGAATTGCTCTGTGTGTATTCTAAAAGAATTCTAGTGTGTGTCAAAGTTATCAGGTTATGTCCAACGAAATCGTTTTCGTCTGTGCCGACTTGACGTTTTTTAAAGCGCAATCGATTTTTCTGCGCACGAACAGCATTTCAGCATTTGTCAGTATGTCATCTTCCTTTTCTTTATTTTCACGCGTACGCGAGACGGCATTGTGGGCCTGCGCAAGAGCTTACTTTAACTTCGCTCGCTACATTGTGTATATTGTGCTCGCATTAAAGCCGATTGCGATTTGTTGATCTTATTACGGTGTAATGTCCGCGCGGAGCCGACTGTCGCGAAATATTTTAATGGCAATAACGGCGTCACAAGTGTTCGCTTCCTGCCGAAGATAAGTCCGAGGGGTACTCGCGCACGCAGACACGCGTGCGCGCGGCGCATGCGTGTTCGGGACGCGCGTGCTTTTCGACACGCACTCTCGGCGCTCACGCACGCACGCACGCACGCACGCATGTGTTCACGCGCGAAAGCGCCGTCGTCGTCGTAGAAGGCGGTTTGCAGTCGACGCGTAACCACTGCTATCGCTCGTTCCGCCCTTTTTCGCGCGGAGCTCCGGAAAAGCGAGTCGGAATTGAAACGAATTGAGAACGCTCGCGAAAGTACCACTCCTCGACTTTGAAAGCGATGCGTAATCCAAAATATCTTCTCTAACGTTTGTTCGCTTTTCCGGAAAAATAAATTAGAGAAGAATTCATTAATTGGAAACTTATGTGACAATTGCAACTATCCTTGCGCCTTGCCACCGTGCGTACACGGTACGTCAAGAATTCTTTAGCGTTTTTTTTTTTTTTTTTTTTTTCCTATCTATGAAGCTATCGACGGAGATGACGATCTTTTGCTGGTGAAATTTGATTGCAACTTTTTGTATTTTCTGCAACTTCTTCATACTTACTTTGAATATTCGACTGATATGAAAGTTGAAATCATAATAATTCTTAGCCGGATTTTTAGATCTTCTTGAATTTATTGAATGTTGAAATTTAATCCATACTTTTCACTCGTTGTCGCAGTTTATATTAATAAAGTATTAATTTTTCCTATTTCTTTTTCTTTCTCTTTTTTTAAATTGTGTCAAGGATTCATAAAGAAAAGATAAAGAAAAGAAGCGATGAACTCGGGATGAACCAGAAGATTGATAATGTTTGTATACAGCATAATATATAAGATAAATCGCGCACGTAAACTAATGTAAATAATGACATAATCAGTTTCCAGATATATTTTAGAACATGACATGTTTTGTAAGAGGATGTAAAAACTGTAAAAGTGTAAATTTTTCAATGCTTTTCAAAACGTTAAATCAAAAGAATCCAAACGGAGATGTAATAAGCTTGTAATTTATGAAAATTAACTATTAATATTTATCGGGAACAAGTGTCACAGAATAAAAAAAAATAAATATCAATAGATCGAGCGCTTGAATTCTAAAACGCGTTGTCCAACTAATTTCTTTGAAATCTACTCAGCATACTTTAGAACAGAAATTATTGCATACGAAACATACTTGCTAAATGTCTTTCCGTTTACAAAGTAGTTTAAAGAAAAAAAAAAAAAAGAGGAAGATAATCAGCGTGACACTAGCGAACGAAGCACATGCAACGTGTTTGTCAATCTGTCATCTGCTTTTGCTTTTGCGATGACGTAAATGCTATCAGCGAATGTCATCTTGAGGCTGCACGTCAATACGCGTGCTTGAAGAACGAGGACTGAGGCTCGCATTCACTCGCTCCTCGTTCAAGCATAATGGTGTTTTGCCTGGCCATGTGTCACGACAGTCAATCGGACTCTCCGCGTTCTCCACTGAATATCGAGTAATTTGAATACATGCAAATTGCAATCGATAAGTACGACTCTCCCGGCGGGCGTTAAACGATAAACGGTTTGTCAAATAAAAATAAGCTCGTCCCGATATCGCCCAAGCTGGCCTTTAAAACGTCGACATTCTAGCCCGTAGAGTTGAGGACGAGAGTCGTATTTTTAGTACGATCTAAAATTGTAATGTTGCTACGAAGTTCGCGAGTGAATTTTGCACCATCGGCGATGCCACCACGGAGACCGTGACCGCGGAATTCATCTGTCGGGGATTCGTCGAAAAGTGATTTTTGTCATCATCAAACATATCCGCGATTCGCAACATCGATCGCGATCTTCGAACTGACTCGATTTTTCAGTTTCTCCGAGAGATCTGATTTCGTCCGAGGCTCGAACAGCGAGTTAATCGCAATGTGAATAATGGAGACAGACGAGGATTTTATCGAACTTTGTATAGACGATCATTAATATCGTCGTTATATTTACGGTTAAATGAGTCAGGGTTAAATTAGAGAGCAGCGATCCGCTATTTATTTCCACGTATTTAATTGCGCTGCAACTGACGTTCCATTTGGATTTCATTTTCGCGTGTCATAGCGCAATGCAGCGCGGAAGTATCGTTTTACGCGCCAGTGTGGATATTGCGTTTTGACGTTTGAATTGGGACCATTGTGTCTATTGTACCTCCACTCGGCAAACTGTGTCATAAAAATAAACGTCTGCGATGCAGATGGTGACCAGCGCCTTACAAATGTAAAGCGTGTCTCTATCTCTTCCGCGAATAATCCTAGTTCTCCACGGCAATTTGTCGCGGTGAGTTCTATTGTAATCGACACGTGTATTTGATGTTCATTTCGCGAAAATAAGGCACAATTTTTAATTTATATTCAGTTTCAAACAACGTGTCATATATTCATTCTAATTATATTTCCTTTTTTATGACAGATTTTTTTCATCGATACGAGAATAAATTTTTTTTTTTAATGAAACATAATCATTTCTCGAAAAATATTTTGGAATATTTGTGAAAATTAATTTATTATTTAAATTCCCGAATTTGATTCCCCGAAAATCTCAATTCACAACTTATATATTAAAATATTTAACATCAAACAGAACAAAAAATTATGAGAAGTAATTATGATCTTTCACGAAATATGTATTAAAAAAATATATGTATTAAAAAAATTTCACGAAATATGTATTAAAAAAATTTATTAAAAATTTATCAAAAAGTTATTAATATTAAAATCAGAGAGTCGTAAATTTCTTGTAATGTTAATTCAGTAATTATATTCGTTGCATCACAAAAAGTCGCGTTAGATAACGCATTCATGAATAAACATTTTTTATGCAAACATTGCTAATCATTTTTAAAAAATATGTGGAATATACTTCATTGAAAAAGCAATTTAAGTTTAGTGTTGTTTAGTGTTAGGAAACAGGAAGACAATAATAATTAGGTACAATTAAGACACACGAT